TTTATGCCCTCGAAGTTTTATACTTTTCCCTTCGTCTGGATTCCCATATCTCACATGTTTGGTTCTGACTAGATCCTTACCCATTTTAAATATCTTTATACGAGGCGGGTATGTAGTATTGACGACCTGCTCCCACCCACAAAGCTCCCTGTTGCGTATGGGCTCAGAATAAATCAATCATGGAACCGGAATATCCCGATATTTCTTGGCCGCACTGCTGGCTGGTTTGAGACGTAATGAATATCTTTGGCCATTGTCCGTGACAAGAAGCAGGGATCTGTATATGGCGAGGAAAGGGAGTGGGATGGGCTCCAGAAGATTGCGTGGTTTGCCATCGACAGATATCACTTTCTTCCGGCCGTTGGCTGGTAAGCTATCGCAAAATATGCCAGTGCAGTAGCTGTTCAAACAACCCCAGACAAGACATTCACCGGGGATCCCAATCCATATACACGGCCATCTTCGGTTAATGCCAAAGTCACATTGGCAGCGGCAGCGAGCCTAACTATTTCAGTGCTCCTCGGGGCCTCATTTCTCAGAATGGCATTTGGCTCTGCATTGCCGTCATAGGTAGAGATTGCACGCCCGGATCGCAGTTATCATTGGATCCCCAAGTCAAATCCGTTTTTTTTTTTTTTTTTTTTTGGGGGGGGGGGTTATAACACACTCTCTAGATGTAAGTTGAGCCACTTCAATCACGTCCGTACCTTTGCTATGGGCTCTCTCACTCCAACCATTACAGGCAAAGCCCGCCGCCATGACTATGCCCGCAAACGGCGACGTCAAATTAAAGCAGAGAGGCATTGGAAATAACAGTTCCAGCACGACTTCTAGAGACTTTGATGACTCTGTTTCTCTGGTTCCGCCGCTGCTCAATGGCCCGTTGGTACACGCGTGCTTGCTTCCCTTCTTGCTGGTCTCGGGCTTTAAGGTACCCTTATTAATTTGGTCGCATTTTTCGACAATTTTGCAACTTAAGAATGAAAAAAGGGGCGTATAGCTGACTAGTAGGTAGCAACAAGTATAAGCGAAGGCAGTTAGCGTGGAAGGTAATAAAGTTTTCGATGTCATATTATGGATATATATATGGCTCGATGTGTAGTAGATAGAATGAAGTAGGGGGATATAGAATTCGGAGTTTACATATCGGAGAGGGGGCAGTCGAAAGGTTTATGATGATGAAGTTTGAAATTAAGCTTTCATCCGCTCAGGAGGTCGGCACTGATTTGTTTAGTACTTCTGTCCTGAAGTAATTCTTTGTTATGTAAAGTTTTGTTTGTCCAACTGTATATTTATTTCCTCTCAGGAATAGAATTGGCATGATTGATAACAATGTAAATCTAGAAAGAAAGAAGAAAATGTGCCAGTGAGAACGGAGAGGGATGTTGTTGATTGGCTAATCAGGTAACTTAAGTTATGCGGAAACCTTTCCCTTTTCAGCCATAACTAGTGCAAGCCTCCTGCAACTTTAATCCAACCACAACCACCCTTGCAAAAGGGCTAGTTACAGCCTACAGGTCAAAACGAACTTGGTTGCTCATTGTACTGTACATCATGTACATTAGTTATGTCTATGACACTATCTATATTCGAGATAATATTCATCTCCCACTAACTCCTTCTAAGGAAGGATCCAACTCACGATAAAGACGATTTTCGGAATTGACTCTAACTTACCGACCAAGGCTCGATTAAATACAATTCGTCTCCATTCGCCTTAAATATTCCTTATATCACATGTGTGGAGGCAAGAGAAGCCTGGCCCTCATTTTTGTGGCTAAGGGGCTCTTTCCCCTATATCTGTTTCACATATTTCACAGGCTAAAGAACCCGGTTTCATGTCTTGCCGTACCTCAATGGCCCCAGGAGTAAATAAGTCTACCGTAGTGCATCTTGGGATTATAGAGCTTTCCCATGAATCAAATACTAGGTAGGAAAGATGACCACTCAAATGTGAAAAGTTCAGCGGTGGTATAATATTTGTTCCTTGTCTGCTCCACCTGATCAACAGCTATCTCACAAGAAATTAATTAGGAACAATATTTGTGCTTATGCAGAAGATGCTTAGATTTTTGAACGGAATCGTAATGGTGACATATTGGGTCTGATACCACTTCGTGTACGAGCATTGGCAGGGTTTCTCTGTTAGTGTAGGGACTCAGATGTGAATACCCCGTACGGGGGCGTGTTTTGGGTGGATATCTAGGACATAATCTGTACAGCAGCCTCAGATAGAAGTCAGGCAGTTTAGTGTTAGGACTGTTTTATGAGAAGTATTATGGGAATTGGAACGTTAGCGTTTGTTCACTTTTTAACCGACATAGCTCAATTTACATAAATTTAGCATTCTAAGTAAAGTTATAGGAAATCAGTAGAGGGAGAAACTTAATATTTCCTCTTTCCTTCTAGTCTAAGTATCTGCAAGTCGGCAATCTATAATTATCTACATCCCAATACTTCCTTCGAACTCCGCTCCATTCCTCTTCAAGACGTGGGACTCTAACGTCTTCCCAATCAACATCGAACCCAGCTTCCAGGAGGTCCATTTCCACAACTTTCCGATAGACGTCATAGCTTATTTGTCGATCAGCCCCCATCCCATTGAAGAAGCTCCATTTGCCGTTTGGTTCAAGGAGACCAATAACTTGCTCCGAGAAGAATTCTCGGAAGTCGGAGTAAGATTCGGCAAAAGTGTCGTAATAGATTGCATCAAATGTCACTCCCTCATCGATGAGTCTTGGAAGGATGTCCTGCCACCTGCCTTCGTGAACGGTAACACCGGGCTTTTCATGCCAACCCTTTCTTTTCATGTCTGCTATGACGGCAGGATGCGCTTCGATAATGTGGTGGGCGTTCGGTTGCTGTGCTTGGAAAAGATTGTCCACGATTCCCATGCCATGCCCAATGTTTAAAACACGCAATCCGGGAGTGGGAAGAAGGGCTTTGGCAGACTTTGCCATGATGTCCGTCTCCCACGCCATCATCACGCCATTTTGATCTTCATCGAGTAATCGATCATGCTGGAATGTTAAATTCGATTGAAGGTAGCGAGAGCTGCTAACGTCAGCATCTGCCGACTCTGCCAAGTTCTGATTGCTGCCATTGCCCGATTCGGGCACCGCTTGTGATATGTCCTCCTGCGTTTGTTTTTCCTCTGCCAGAGGAGGAGCATCCTCTTCCTCTTCCTCCTCGCTACCATCATCCGATAGCATTTGATAGCCGTCTAATCGATTAAGTAGCATTTCAGCCCTCACGCCCGCATCGACCATCAAACTGTAAAGTTCTTCAAGCCCAAGTCTCCTAGCCAAACAGCCAGGAGTTTCATTTTTAGAATCCAAGTCATTCCAAATAGCCCCTTCTTGCAGTAGAAACTTCACAACATCCCTCCCTCGGTCAGCCACACTAGCCGATTCATCTAAGGCTACTGTGGAATCTCCATTCGTGATCCCATTGGGGGTTTGTTGACTGTCGGTTGAATCCTCTGCATCTGATTCACAGGCAGCAATTGCAGCGTGAAGTGGAGTATACCCGGTCTCAGGATCTTTGACATTCACTGGATTTTCCGCTTTTTCATTTGCGCGGATTAATTGACGGAGTTTCGGAATGTTATGTTGTGACGCTGCAAGGAGAATTTCTTGAACGTCTGTGTCAACATCTATAGTGCCCAGTTCGTCACTGATGTCCGCCATGGCCGAGAACGCCTTTTCTCTCCTCCTTTCCCCTTTCAGTTCAATTTTAAATTGGCGGTTGGACTGTTAAATGTTCGTTTCGTTCTCAGAGGAAGATCATTTGCAAGCGGAAGGGCACTTGGACTGGACTGTTCGAGCTTCTTCTAGTTTGTGTCAAGTATCCCGTGGTGGGAGCCTAGGTATCTGATTTTAAATGTAGACAACACCGATCTGCTTTACTCAACTTTTCCCCCCCACCTCCCAATACCGTATCATGGGGAGTTGCCCTGTAGGGTTTAGCGCCATCCAGATCAAATGCTTTCTGGCCTATTTAGACTTAGCGCACAGGAGTGACAGGTTGCCAGGTTTGCCAGCACGGTCTAACTACCAATTGATGGCACTAGCAGAGCGAAAGTACAAAAATTAACGTCAAGGAAAGAAAGGAAAAGATATTAGATAGGCGCCAGAGGAGAGTGTTTTATATCAATCAGACGGGTGTCAGAGCGTAAGAACATTGGTTCCGAGGTATTAGGGATGGTGTTGGAACCCACGACCTCACAACCTCCAGCGCACTGTGACTTTCCAAGTCTCCATAACCTTCATAACCTTCGTAACCTCAGTGCCGGCCCTGACCCATAAAGGCCAAATCAGCTCTGAAAACCCTGCATCCCCCACTGTCGCCGCTGAATTAATCACCAAGTCCTGCACAACCAGCTCGCGCAGCTCGTTCCATCTGGCCACTGATCACATAATCGTCCATTGTCCCCTCCGAGTACATGTATCGGATGAGAACCAACTAGTATCAACTATCCTTTGCACGCCGCAGCTTCTCAATCAACGGTTCCTTCCCCTTCCCCGATCATTTGTCTTCCTTGAAGGCAACAGTGCGCTTCCGAGGCGCTGCGTCTCTCCTCCTCTACTTAGAGCTGTCATTATCATCACCATTAGCTTCGCCATCGCTGCTACTGCCGTCGTCGCTACCATGGATGTCCATAGTTATCTTCTTAGTGCTGATCAAAATATACTCCTCACCATTATTTGACTCATGAATGTCATCGCGTCGAAAAAGTATAGTTGTATTATACCTTGACCCGTTTCAGTATAGGTGTAATGGATCAGAGGAGGATATTGGTATATTGTCATGCGGAGTTGTTTGGAGTATGGACAGTTTCTAGGTTGTTGGACATGGGGGTTATGGGGCCCGCAGGCCCTTGGCCAAAGGTTGAGCTAGTCCACTGCTTGCGACTAAATGTATTTTCAGCTGTATGATTGCTATTTTTATTGATCGTGTAGAGGAGGTAGCACAGGCAGTGGCGAACTGAAATATCATCTTTATGACTCCCTAGAGAACTGGTTGCTTCTCTGGGCGGTGTGATATAATACTGAGTCCTTCCCTCCGGGTGGAACATCCTGCTTGAGGAATATAGTGCTATCGTATGTGTAAGGAAGCCGTAACGCATTTTGAAGTGATGCTGTAGGAGGCAATTTGACCTAAACAAGACTATTAGTCAGGCACACGGGAGGTATTTAATTTGGGGGGTAGGGTTACGCGGAAACATTCCAAGAGCAAGTCAAATCGGTTTTCCCATTTCGCCCTCCTTGTAATCCTCCCATAATGTCTAAGGTCATGCTTCCAGAGGGGGTCTTTACCTTCCCTACCACTACCATGGTGGGTATTTCATTATCAGAGAGAACTTGTAGATCCTTAAGACTTACAGCAGGACAGTCAACTGCTACAAAGTCAGTGACAAAAGAACTGTTTTAGGAGGCCTTGCTCTCCCTGCACACCTTGTAGCCACCAAAGTAGAATCTGACATCATTGTGGTTTGCAACTGCACTTGCGGGCGTACGGGCATTTTGTGCGTAGCGTTCCCAAATCGATTGCTCATCACCACAAATGTAATGTTCAGCAGCTGTGAAAATGATCATTTTCAGCCGCTAGCAAACTGTCACATCATTATATGAAGTAATGTGATTAACTACTCAATACTCACTTACACTTAACACTCATCATTTCATCATCATAATAATGAAATATTTTCATTGATATCTTAACAACATAATTAGATTTTAAGATGATATATTATATGATGAAAATATATATAGAAAATTACATATAAAAATATACAGCTAATTCTATAAATATTTATTAGACTTAATAACTAGACTGACCGTGTGACCGTGTCTGAGACCAGGACCAGAATTTTTGATAGTCTCATTGTCAATTCGACAGATCCCATTACACAGTTCTAACATTAGATAGTAGTCTCATACTGTCTCAGTGAGACTTACTGTCTACTCTTATCACATTTTTCAAATGAGATCATGATTTTCACTTCTCAATTTAAATTATTTTTATTACTTTAAATGACTTTAAATCTTATTTAAGTGTTATCAAAAAGTGTTACTTTTTAAAAAATTAAAAATAGTCTAAAAAAAACCTTAAAATGTCTAAAAATAGTAACTTTATACTAAGAATGAGACTAAATGAAATCAAATGAAATCACTTTCTCATTTTTTTCAAGTCATGATTTCATTTTGAGATCTGATATATAGTCACTTTGCATGTTTATTTAATGATTAGTCCCAGTGAGATTCATGTCAAGAAATGTATGAGATCAGATTAAATGAGATCAAATATGAAATTCATAGTCTCAGTAATCAGTCTATTAATAACTCATCTAAAATATAAAATCTTGAATAAAGACAGATTCAGTGAGTAAGCAGTTATTAAATTAGTAAAGATTATAATATTATCAGATTTCTTCAGTAGTGAATTTATAAGCACTCTGATAAAGCTTTAAAAACATAATTTAGTTACTTTTTATAAAATCAAGAGTTTACTTTTCTGATTAGAAAGAAAATTTTTAAATTCTTTAATCTTTTTCTTATTCAACTGTAATTACTACTGTATAGTAGCTTATTCTTTCTTCTCTTTTTACTCTTAAGTCTTTCTTACATTTCTAAGCTTCTTTTTAATCTGCTGTTGAGCAGTTCTTAAAGTGTAAGAAATCCCGCTTCTCGCGGATGCTTTATCTCTATTTCTATCTCTCATGTAATCAATAGGGCTAGCGGCCCTTGACTACACACAACTATATAGACTGAAGTTCACAAATACTATTCATAACTCAGCTTGAATACTATTATATATTTAATCTCTACATTTTATCTTTCTACTGTGAATACTTCTAGTAGTTAACAGTATATATCATATCAAGCTGTAAATATCTGAATAATCATCTGTGAGTACTTATTCTTACATTTCAAGCTCAGTCAGTCAGCAATCATCTGTTATAACTGAAAGAACTAGAAACTTATATACTTTAATCTCTATAAACTCTACTGCAGATACTCAGAAGCAGTTATCTGAATTATGAATAATCTCTATAAAAGAAGTCTCAGAGAACTTACTAATTACTTACAGAATATCAATCATCCATCAACCGCTCCACCACGAACTCGCTCGATTTTTCGAATAAGAACCCACCGATAGATCCATCGAAAAGCCCTCGATCATACGAGCATTTTGACCCCATCGCCGACCGCATACCCCGTGTGGTGGTGGAGTTATCCAGCCAAACGTGAACCAGACGTCGTTCAGAACTCCTGCGTGGGATTATCCCCCATTCTCCCCTACCACACCACAACCCCGGGCCAAAGTGCCATACAAATTGTAAGGTGAAGAGTCCTAGCCATATGCGCCAATCTTCTCGATTTTGGAAGATCCCCGATCTGTAGTTGTGGAGATATCTGAGGAGTGACCTCCGCGAAAACCCTGTCCATCTTTGATGTTTCAAAACACCAACGCCAAGTCTCACCCTTGTACCGCCCTTCCCAATCTGGCCCATCCCCGGCAGAAAAATACAAAAAGATACCTCGGTGATAATATCAAGCACATAATCAACAGCCACTTCTGAAGTGCAACCTCCGCGGTCTGTCTTCAGTGTATCTAGACATCAACACCAAGTCTCACCCTCGTACCACCTCTCTCAATCTGGCCCATCCTCAACAGAAAAGTACAAAAAGATACCTCAGCAACTGTACTTGATACATAATCGGCAGACACAACAACTATAAAATCAGTATATCTCAAGGTCTGACTGAGCCTTTGATCCCTTGCACAGTGAGATATATTAAATCTAGTTTTAATACCTCAATATTCAATAGATTCTGCAAGAAATTGAGAACAGCAACACTAGGTTTCTATTGAATTTGAGAATTAACTCTATATTAATATAATCATTGATAAAGTCTTCTATTTTGAGATATAAATAACCAGTTCCTCTACATCCCGCTGACAATATTTATATTATTATATAGAAATAGACTTATATTCTCTATAATATCAAGACTCTGAAGAGAGAAAGTCTTGATAGAAGATATACAGTAGTGCATATCTTAGCAGTTTCTATCTTATTCTTCTGCAGCAGTTAATGCAAAAAAAAAAGATCTTAGAAATAATTTTTTACTTCTCTTGAAAAAGTAAGATGTTTTTCTCTGGGTTTTACACAATATTCTTACAAAGAATTAAAAACAGAGTTGTTTTCTGTCATAATTTCATATTCTTTTAAGTAAGAATTACTTTTTCAGTAGCTGAAGAGCTTTCATTAATACTTAATTCTTTTTTACACTCTTTATTAACTGATTTGAGTTGCACACTTGTTGTGTGAGGAGAATTGAATAATTTAGAATAAAATTGAATAGTTTTAATCAATTTCTCTGCAAAAAATTGATTTATTTTTTGTCAGTTTTTCTCTCAAAAACTGTCATATTATCTGATTTATTATCAATTGATATCATACTTTTCCTCACTGTATCTCAAGAAAGAGATTGTAAAGATTTTATTGATTTATCTTAAAAATCAATTTTAGTTTATTAGATTCTCTTTAAAAATCTAACCTAGTTACTGAACTAGTGTGAAAAAAATCAGGTGTTTTATACATAAAAGTCTTTTATTCTTCTTTTGAAACAGTCTGATCAACTTTTCAATTGAAAACAGACTTAGAAATATCTCAATTGAAACAGTCTGACCAACTTTTTATTGAGTGAAAACAATGAGTTCAAAAATACACTCAGTTGATGTGGAAAAAGATGCTTTCTCAAATGCTATTTCTGAGATTGAAATTCTGAAGAGAAGAAAGAAAGAAGAAATAGAGAAACAACAAGTTCTTGAAATACAGGAACTTGAAAAAGCAAGCAAGATTCTTGAAAAGCAGTGTCTGAGTGAGATGAATGAAGAAGTTCTGTTAATTCTTTATACTCAGACTAGACAACTACAGAAGATGATCAAGTTCAAACTTGAAATCTCAATCACAGTTCAAAAAACCTTGAAAAGTTCTAGTACAATCACTGACTCTTCATCTTACTCTTCTTCTTTCTTTTTTCCTACTTCTTCTTCTTCTTTGAATCAGAAGAAAACATATACTCAAGCAGCTGAATCTGCTGTCTCTAAACCTGCTGTCTCAAAACCTGCTAAAAATCCTGAGAAAACTGAGAAGAATACTGCTCATGCCTCTATTCATAGAAAAGTGAAAAAGAAAATGTAAAAAGAGAAAAACTTTCAAATCTCTAGAAATAGAAGACTCATTCTCAAAGTCTCAAATCAGGACATTCTGCAAAGAAACAAGCTAAACTCAAATCTCATTTTCAGAATTAGAAATAAAATTAATCAGCAGTTCTTTTCTCAGTTGATAACTGATATTGAAGTTCAAAAATCAGTTATAGCTTCAATTGAGTTATCATTCTTTGAAAACTTCATCATTCTGACTACAATACCTGAATTCAGTGCTGAATTTCTTATTCAGAATGAGAATCTCTGAAAGTCAGCAGTAGAATCTTTGCTGAACATAACAATTCTATCTGAAAGAGATGAAAAGTGAGACAAATTCATTCTTTATAATATTCCAGTTGAAATTTTTGACTGTGAAGAAGAAATGCTACTTCTCAAAAATGAATTGAAAGAATACAACTCTATTCAACTGAGAAAGAAGCCTGTATGACTAAATTCAATTGAGTTCAGACAAAGCAGAAGAAATGTCTCTGTTCTAGTATATATAAAAACACTTGAACAGTCAAAGATCTCTGAAGTAAGAGTAGCAGGTTTGAAAATGAGAGTTCATGAATACAAAGACTCAAGAATGAATCTCAAAGCTCAAACACAGTGTTCAAACTGTCAAAGATATGAACACTTTACAATCTTATGTTTTAGAGACTCAAAATGTGCATTCTGTGCCAGAGATCACAAAACTAGTGAGTATAAATGTGAAACATGCTTAAAAAGAGGTGAAATTTATCAACATACTCTGCTTAAGTGCTCTAATTGCAAAGAAAAACATGCATCTAGCTCAAAAGAATGTATGTTTACTCCTAGAACTCAAAAGAACTGAAGAAAAGATGAAGCTCAAAGTCAATCTAGAACTGAAGAGAAGAGTCAAGTCAGTAGACTTATAACTGCAAGCTTAAAAAGAAGAAACTTTCAACTATCTAAGTTCTCAAACTTCAATTCTTCAGCTAAATATAAACAGAATTTGAATTCTCAAACTTCTGTTAAGATTAGAGAATTGAGAAATGACTCTGATAATAAACTAGATATAATGCAAGCAGTTGAGATTTCTACTTTTCAGAACAGTTATAATCTACTATCTGATGATAGTGATTAGATTCTACTCTACTCTCTTTTAGTATGAATATACAATAAAAACAACAAAAAAAGTTTAAAAACTCTTCAAAAATCACATTTATTCAAAATAATGTGAATAGAAACTTAAATTATATTTATTCTTGTCTTCAAATTGCATTTGAATAAAAAGTTGATTTTATACTGCTTCAGAAGCCGAATTTTGATGCTGAGCAAAAATATGTCATTTCTCATTCAAGCTACTACTGCTTTTTACCTCAAAAGTCTGAGATAAAGTCAAGAGTAGTGATCT